AGGAAAAGAAGACCCAATTCTAAAGACCATTTTTGTGGTCGATAAAAACACCTCATACAGTTTTTTGAAGCCTGGTTCCATTGAAGGACTCTCTGGGCGTCTGGGGAACTTTGTTGGTGGCTCTATTGCTACCAAAGTGTGCGTGTTTCCCCCTGCACGGCGTGCTTGCCTTGCTCTATCACGCTCCCTTCAGGGTCCCCTTACCCTTGCAGGAGAACGAACATGACTTTGGTGTCAATCTTGTCATATTCAAGTTCAGCCAGTCCCGGCTTCTCCTTTGTATCTCCCGTTCCTGGCCTTGGGGGAGGCTGGTCCCCTGGATGTGTGAGCCACAGAGCTCGCCTTGGTGAGGCTACTGGTTTTGTGCGTGGCCAGCTGCTGTGGGGCGTGTTCCAAGGGGGGGGGGGGTCTCCTCCGAAACCCCTGCCCACACCCAGCTCCGCCGTGGCCCGCCCCGGCCCGTAGGGTGTGGCCCGCCCTATGCACAGCAAGAACCGTAGTACATCAAAATGTTTTTTATTTGAGACACAAAAATGCAAAATTGCTGAGATATCAAACGTTTCCTGACCGGCTACAATACTGCCACTATGTACAAAAGATCTGATGAGAAATGTGCACACATATAAAAATACAGTATGCGTTACTATGTACAGTACATGTGCAAATGTATGGCATCCAAACATGATACGGAATTGATTTCAGGGGTGCAAACAGCAAATACAAAGGCATCATGGTTTTCTTTTAAAAAACAACATAAAGGCAATACATGAATGGACCCCCCGATTGCCGTAATTTTTTTGTTCATTAAGCTAGTGCTTTAGTAAGCGGGGCTCTGTAGGTTGGTATCTTTCTCCTTGTTTTCACAAAGTGAGATGCTAAGACGTAACGTGACCATGAAAATAAGAAGAGAAACACCTATCACACTATGTTTTGACTGCAAGCAAGAAAAAAGGAAACTAATCTGCACTTAGGAAGAAACTGTATTACTACTAAGTATGTATTATTCTTAAACCAACAAAACAAATCTATACTATTTTACATGAAAACAATAGAGAAATATCTACACCTTTGTGAAAATTATAACCTTACATGGATAATACCTTTTTGGGACTGACTGTTGAGATATCGTTAGTCTCAAATTTTAAATAAAAAGTGCCTTCTTTTGGCAAATACTTGGCAATGCCTTTGGTTCCTTTAAAGCAAGTTTGCATTACTATTGGTTACATGAGGTTAAGTACTTTTGGTAGATACTAAACCCTTTCCTCAATGCTCCCTCCTCCTCCCCGGTCAGCCAGTTGCCTTACAGCATAACGTAGAGAGGTAATGGTGAACGGGTCTCAGTGATTCTACGAACTTGGTTAAAGCTTTGTCTTAGTGGTTGGCACAAAGCTCTCTTGAACACGACAAGCTGTGTGGATTATCGCCAAGGACCTATTCTGATTCCAGAGAGCACCTTTGGTCTGAGATGGCCATCCCGTTGTCAAGGATTGGTGACACCGCCTGGCCGCGGCTCGCGGAGCGGAGCGATGTGTTGGTGCGGCGGGGGAAGTGCGCTTGTGTAAACACGTGCCGCTCTGGCCGTCCTGGCCTCGCACCCGAGATCGCAGGGAGAGAGGCTCTGCGGGGCCGCCGGCGGGGAGCGCCGCGTACGGCAAGGGAGAGGGAGCGGGGGTGGGGGGCGCGGGCACGCACAGCCTCCCTGTGGTCCTGCAGACCGTCACTTCACCAAGAGAACAGGTGGCCCGGACAGGCGTGCACGGGAGCGGGGCTGGACACAGGGTGAAGAACGGCCGCGTCCTTACTTTCCAGTTGTGACCGCGGCGCTTGGCGGAAGAGCCGGGACGCGGTAGGAGGCTCTGCAAACACACAGGCCTGCCCTGCTCTGCTCCCTGACGGGGCGGCCCTTCCAGTTACCGCGCTGGCATCCCCTGGGCTCATTCCGTGGCCTCCAGGGCAGTGGACAGCGCGGTGTTTTGCCGTGTTGCCGGGGGTCAGGGAGACGCATGTGTGCGGAGAGGGGTGACGAAACAGGGAGGGTTGTGTGTGGACCTGGAGAAACGGGCTGCCCCTCGCAAGTGACTGCCGGCAAGAGCCTGAAGGGGTTTCGGGGGCTGTGCCGGCCAGAGCGCCTCCGCCCTGCACTTCTCTCGGGCCCCGCCTGTTTGTGGACAAGAGAGGGACTGTCCCATCGCTTGTGGGGACAGTTGCTGGGCCAGCTGCTGCGGCTGGTTTCAGCCTGGGAATTAGGAACGGGCGCTGAAGAAAGTGGGGTGGCCTGGAATGATCGGGGGCGGGGGGAGGCCAGAGGAAGCCTGAGTCCACTCTGGTGAGCAGAGCGGGGACAGGCTGCCGACCCGTCACTCGGGGCTGCTGACTGCACAGTTCCGGGGCGCTAGTGGATGACCGTGACTTTGCTTTCAACGGGCAGCAGCCCGCGGGCCGCCGCAGACTGCCTCCTGAAGTCGCACTTCCTAAAGTGTCAGTTACACGGATCACAGAACCGGGTTTTTTAAAAAGGAAACTTAAATAAGATCTCTCTAGTATTATAAAAATAGTCCTATAAAACACAGAGTATCTGAGCAAGAAATCCCACGAATTGAGAATATAGATCTATGTACAAACATGTGGCAGGTACTGTACAGTAGATTGCACAATTCTGGAAGAACGCCAGCACGTGAACCCCAGCAACGTGCCCGGAGGGGCTCCCGGGACGCGCGCTGCTGAAGGGCCCCCGGCCCCGAGACTCACAAAGCCCGGGGAAGCTCTGGGGCGACTCGCCCTTCCTCCCGGCCCGGAGGACAGGAGCTGGTACCTGCATATCCCGGAGAGGCAAGCTCCATGCGACGGTGTTTCCGGAATATTCGGAGAGGTCAGACTGGATGGGAGAGCGCGCATGCCCAGGCGCTGGCTGTTTCCTTGGCAATGGGACGTTGTGCAAGACGACGGGCCACACCCCCACGTCTACACCACACGCGCGCGCGCGCGCGCGCGTCCTGGCCGCCCTGCCCTGTGCTTTGACGGCCGTGACAACGCAGACAGTCCTTACCCTGTGTGCAGCGAGTCAGGTCAGAGGGGCCTCGAGGACAGCACGGTCTTTGGTCACGTCACCTGCTGCACACGTCCCACCTTGAGCACAGTGGCCCCCTGCCCCGCGTGCCGGCCGCCCACGCCAGGATGGGAGGGCCTGGTGGAATGATGCGAGTGGGGGCTGGTGCAGCTCGGGTCGGGAGGCTCCTCGCCTTCCCTGTCAAGGAAGCCCTGCACGTAGGGTTCGGACGCACGCGTGAAGTAACTCCTAGTCCAAAGCAAGCAGGCTGGTGGGACGGCGCTGTCTGCGCTCGAGTGGGTTTCTGGAGAGCACCCTTCCTGCGGCGTGTTTCCGGCCTTAGTTTGAAAGCGCCACGGGAGAGCTGAGGGCTGGGAAAGCATCTCGGGCACCACTCAAGATGGTGAAAATAGCAAGCAAGAGTCCACGGCGCTAGCTGGTCACTTGCCTCCCACAGTCCCACTGGTATCTGGGGTTCACTTGAGAAGCCACTGAAATCGGAGTGAAGATGAAGCCCAGAGCCCACGTGCGGAGCAGGTGAGCCCCGGACAAAACCCACGGCCAGGACCACCCCCAGACAAGTACCTGCCCGGGTAGGCAGCCGGTCCCCAGACGCAGGCCCTTCTGGAAGGGAAGCACTGGGGCCGTGCGTCCCCCGGGGTGACACTCTCTTGGGCTTGCTCCCACGGCGGCGTCCTGCTGACCAGGCTACTGGACTCCAGATGCTGGATTCCCAGTTTCTGAGCATTGAAACTGCCCCCTCAGACCACACCGAGCGTAACCGCTTCTGCCCCGAACGCTTCAGACGTCTGTCGAGTTGGGAAGTGCCAGTTAACGGAGGGCTCCCGTGTTCCGGCCGAATCCTGGAAAAGCAAACTTTCCTCCCGTGGAGGATCTACAAACCGAAATCAGATCGGCGCTCAGGCAAAGCGCAGACCCAGCCGTGATGCCCGGATTCTCTCTAAGCAGTGGGTCGGTCAGGTTGGCTCAGGCAAGTCACCGTGGGGACGTCACCATCTAAGGACGCAGAGAAAGCAACCTGGCCCTTGGCTTTATAGAATGTGAGGTGCGGAGCAGGTGAAATTATTCAACAAACACCTTCACACTTTTTTTGGGTAGATTTCAGGGTTTTTTTTGTTTTTTCAGAAAAGTTATTTACATTTTGTCCTAACCTTAAATGACTAGCTTGAGATAATTCTGGAAGTCCTGTGATAGTTGGCATTTTAGAAAATTCTTAAGGAACTACTCAGCAAATGGGTGATAACTTCTCTGTATAAAACAATGACTAGTAAAACCTCCAGTTTTTCCCTCTTCGGCCTGATAACCTAGTGAGAGCTTGGGTATGACATCCAGTTACGAGCCTGAAGGATGCCCGTCAGGGAAAACGGCAGAGAAGAGGCGGCCAGAGCTGGACCCCGCGGCCGGCCTGCCCAGATTCCCCCCCCCACCGGGGCCCCCGCGGGAACATTCGGGGCTCCTGGCACACTTCTCCTCGGCCCTCTCTTTGCAACTCAACAGCTCAGAAGGGTATTTTACACGGAAGCCTTCTTTGTTCTGTGAGATGGGTCTGGTTACCTGAAAATCAGTCAGCATTTCTTTAAATACGGAAATACACATGGCTCAGGGACTCTAGAAACAGTCGAGTTATTAAAACAAGTAGGAGCGCTGGCTACCAATTCCTTACCCCAACGTAGGCTGTACAAATCACAATGTCAGGGTGGACATACAAATGTCTCATATACACATTAAAACCCACCTACTGAACCCCGAGGGTTGCTAATAGAATTTTCAGTGTTATCCGTGTACGAGGACTTTGTACAGTGGATGGTTTAGGACGGTGTTTTGGAGACGTCGTCTGATGACGGTGAAGGATCTCCCACCTAAACTGAAACCTGGGAAGCTACGGTAAGATTCCCCACAACTAAGTTTGAGTTCCACAAAACTATGTCACAGATGAACGATGTTGGTTTCCGAACGGAAGCAGAGGTCCGCAGTGGCCGCTGTCTGGGAACGGGCGGGCGCCCTCCCCGGCCTCTGCCGCCCACAGCCCGGCTCCGGTCACGGCTGGGACGGACCGCATGCAAGGGCCGCTGTCCTCTCGTTGGAGGGGAGCGGTCTGCCTTGAGCGTCGGGTCTGAAGGTGACCGCAGAGGCGTAAATGTAGTTCATGGACGGCCAGAGAATCCACGTGTCGCGCTCCCGCACACGTCCCTCTTCTGGATGTCTTTATTCGTTCTCTGCCGAAGTCTGGAGAAACAGGTGGGTCTTCTGTAACCAGTGATTTTTCAGAAGGCCCTGTGCTGTGTTAAGTTGGAGAAACTCACTGCTGGGCGCCGTGAAATGTGTTCGCACTCGGTTTCCAGGCTATGACCATCTATCCGTTCTTCCCGTGACGACATATTGTAATTGCAACAGCGCAACTCGGAATCTGTCTCTAAAAACTGACCTTGGAGAATGATCTTCATCTTCTGAAACGACAGAGGCTCGAACGAGAAATCAGCGATGTTAGTCCCACGGCAACGGCAGGTCCTGTGGGTCTAAAAAGTCGGCGGAGAACATGCTGGGGGCGGTGGTGCTGAGGGGAGTGAGTCCTGACGTGTTAGGCATGGTGATGTCCAGCCACTCCATGTTGTCCAAGTTCGAGTCCGAAAGGTCCAGTGACAGACAGGGGGTACTGGCGGCAAACTGGGCCTCGGAAGTCTCCATGGGGGAGTGGGAGTGGTCCAGCACACTCGAGTGACTCAGCAGATCGTTCTGGAGGTCCTCGATCAGAGAGAAGGGCTCTCTGTCCTCACTGCTGCTCGGCAGTGGAGCGATTTCGTTGGCTGAAGGGAAAGTTCCATCTAAGAGCGCTTCCAGCTGGTTCTCCAAGCTGGCGGACAAACTGCTCATGGGTTCTAAGGAGATGGGTGGTGCCATCTGGACTTGGGGCGGTGGCCGGGACACCGCTGTGTTGACCGGCATGGTGGTGATGCTGGCTGTCACTGGTCTCATTTTGGAGATGGGGGACGGTTCTTCTTTTATAGGAAGGGAGATCTCTGTGCAAAACAATTGAGGGGATCAGTAAGTAACGATTCAGTACTCTTTAAACATTTCTGTCAAGTACCAGGAGAGTTGTTTTACTACTGGGCAAGGACTCAGACACTGTCCACCGTAGGGGTAGGAGGACGGCAGTGCTACTCGTCAGCTATGGTCCTTGGTGACCTAGCGGAGGATGGCTCATTTGAGTTAAATGGACATTGAAATTTATAACATCCTGATACGCTTTCTCTCCTTTTCAGTAAGCGTGATAAGCATCACATGCAGTTATACGCCACTAGGCAGGAGCCGATGGCTTTATTATTTTGATTATTTGACCTCTGGGTCCTTGTTCTGCATTATTTCAGGCTTCAGACACAGAACCGTAGATCTGCCATCACTGTGGTCGCCACCCTTAAAGTCAAAGTGGGTGTCCCGTCTGTGCAGACGCGAAGTGCATTTGGAGACCATGGCAGATCTAGTTAGTCTTTTTTCTGTTATCGTGACAGCTGACCCGCATGCCCCGTCAGCCATATACGTTCTGCAGGAAGTTCTACAGATACGATGCTGTCTTGTTTTCCTCCCAAATTAAAGCTAACACACAGCTCCTCTGACCTTCTTGACCTTATTTTTCTGACCTGTTTGCTTGTCTTCTGAGTTTACCTAAAACCTTGACGCTCCGGCAGGTGTCTTAGTGAGCACTAATGATGCGTTCTTGCGCGATCAGGTGGAAAGGGAACGCACCACCATCTGCTCTGGATTCCAGCTTTCATTTAGATACACGTATTTGAATGAAGTTTCTTTTTTACTTTCTGGTGGGTATCTGGTTTCATTTCTACGCAAACACGGGAGGAGAAACGGATTTGCTAAGAGCTGTGGGAACTCTGACTGGGACGCAGAAGGACGTGAAGGAGCTCCCACGCCCACTCCTTCGTGTGCGTCGTCGACCGTGTGGACTCACGTGCTGACTCCCTGCGTGTGTCCTGCGTACGTCTGTCATGTGTCCTTTCCTGCGGTCAGCTCTAGAACCGTTCTGAAAGCTGACAGTGCTAGGTAACCTGCCTCAGAATCAATTCTTTACATTTCTGTTTTCATTATCACTGGCGTTCATTCACAATAAGATAATGTCCTCACTGGATACTTTGCCATTAAAAAAAAAGTCCTGGGGCGCCGGGGTGGCTCTGTGGGTTAAAGCCTCTGCCTTCAGCTCAGGTCATGATCCCAGGGTCCTGGGATCAAGCCCCACATCGGGCTCTCTGCTTGGCAGGGAGCCTGCTTCCCTTCCTCTCTCTCTGTGTGTGCCTCTTTGCTTACTTGTGATCTCTATCAAATAAATGAATAAAATCTTTAAAAAAAAAAAAGTCCTTGTAGAAAATAACTCATTTGATGATGTCATCACATTTTAATTTCTAAGTTTGGGCTATAAAAATTACTCTGTTTAATCATTTAGAAAGTCTTTGGCAAAATGCATTAAAAAACAAAAACAAAAACCAAACCTTAAGATCAGGCCATGAAACGGTTCTTTTATTTCCAGAGCATAAATATATCTTAAGTTATTTTGTGAGGCCAATGTAGTTCTTAGAAAAAAAAATCTGCTCATGTAGAGCTATAGTTAAGCATCAAGAATTTCTTGTCTTCAAAACCAAACAGTACCTGCTATGAATGGAGAAATTTTGACCACTGTTTAGAAAGCAGAATAAAACTCCTTTCATCAAGGTGATGTAAGAATCCTTTATTCTAAAACCGTGTTTTCAATTTTAAAATACTGATTTTTATACCTATTTTGAAAGATACATTTGCTGAGGTAGAGATAGCCTTGACTTTGTGAATGTGTGTCTGTGTGGTTAATACCCATATCCCTTTCTAAGATGATATGTTATAGAGTCCAAGATTTTCAATTATAGGTAGAAGGTGCTTTAAAATTGCCTTTAAATTTTCACCAAGATAGTAAGGGCCTGTGCGACGTAACGTGGTTGTTACGACGTTAGTGTACGCAACAGAGTGCTCTCGTCCCCCACCCCCAGTCATCTACATGTGGGACAGGTTTTGAAGTTTTTCAACGTGGAATTTAAATGGGGCTCTATGTGGCTGTTTTGATACAGTCCGTTCTCGGCAGGCATAGATCTATGGATAAAATCTAACACGATGTTATTATTTTAAGCTGAAAGAGTAACTTTTCCTCCATTTATAAGTTTTTTTAATGTCCTAATTGAAAACCGTAAACTTGGTTGGGATTAGAATACATTTCTCACTACTCCAAGATAGGCCGTGAGCTCTCCAGGAAAACGTTCAGAAACTTGTCATAAAAGGCTACTCGGACGGGGTCTGATGTGATTTGTGACCTACCTCCACTCTTGATGAGGATATCAAAGAGGTCGTCCATCTGCTGACTGTGTGCATTGGAAATCTACAACAAAGGAGAATAGAAATCAGCCTTCTTTCCTACAGACGCAGAAGCACTCTCCAATCAGGAGCTCTAAGCGACCTTACAAATCTATCACTTGATAATTTCGAGAACACTGAGGTCACTGGAGACATGAAGCCATTTACCCAGTGTGTCACAGCTGATGAGCGGCTGACAGCAGGAAGAGGGCTGATACCTAGATCAGCCGACCTATACACATCCCTTAGTTTTTACCACTGCATTCTGAGAGGCCACTACTATTAGCTTCTAAAAATACTTGATTCATTTCCACTTACGTAAAAATAGAAGATAGGCGTAAACTGCACTTACTGAGGGCACGGTCCAAGTTTTGACATCTGTGTACTCCCATAATGCTGTCAACACAGTCGAGATAGCCAACATACCCGTGCCCTGCAAGTTTCCTCACTGGCCTTTTGTAATAGTCCCATCTTCCCCCACGCAACCCAGGGACTGCTTTTTCTGCTTATAGATGAGTTTAGTTCACATTTTCTGGAGTTGTACAGCAATGAATCCTCACAGTGTAAGTGTTTTTGGTAGTGGATGAGGCTTCTTTCATTGAACATAATTCGGAGCTTTCTCCACGCTGGAGAGGATGCCTTAGGAATATTTTTATTGCCCAGGAGGTCTGTTTTGGTTGTTTCCATTTTTTGGCTGTTACAAGTTCAGCTGCTGTGGCGTTTGTGTACAAATCTCTGCGCTGGGTAAACACCGAGGAAGAGCATGCTGGAATCCTAGGGGAGTTTTAGGGTTAACTTTTTAAGAAATGGCTGCTTGGCAAAGTGATATTTTTCCGTTTCCACCAGCAGTGTCTGGTATTTCTGGTCCTTCCACATCCTTGTCAACACTGGGTACGGTCAGTCGTTTCCGTTTTAGGCCTCTCATAGGTGTGCAGTGGTATCGCGTTGTGGTTTCAATGTGCCTTTTCCTAATGACTCATAATGTAGAGTATCTGGTCACGTGCTTGCTGGCCGTCCGTGTATCTTTTTTTGGTGAAATGGCTGCTCTAATCGTTTGCCTCTTCCAGACTTCTTTGGTTTACTGTTTGCACGGTGTATGTTTTTCTGATTATTTACTTTCAACCTGTGTCTTTGTATTTCACGTATGTCTCTTCAAACCAGGAAACGGACTCTTAGCTACAGAGAACAGACGAATAGGGTACCAGAAGAGGGGTGGGTGGTGGGAGGGCTGGGGGGATTAAGGGCTGCACTTGTGATGAGCAGAGTGATGTATGGAGGTGCTGAATCCCTCCGTTGTGCACCTGAAACTAGTACTACGTTGCATGTTAAGTGGAATTTAAATAAAAACGTAAAAAATAAAAATGTTATCAACTAAGGGCACCTGGGTGACTTAGTCGGTTAGGGGCCTGCATTAGGCTCAGGTCATGAGCTCAGGGTCTTGGGATCGAGCCCCATGTCCGGCTCCCTGCTCAGTGGTGAGTTTGCTTCTCCTTCTCCCTCTGTGATGGCTTCTGCACTCTCTCCAATAAATAAATAAAATCTTTAAAAATTTATATCAATGAAAAAAAGATGCCTCGTATAGGTGCATGTATGTGTTCCCTGTTGTATTACACATTACTCTAAGCAGTTTAGTGGCTTAAAATGCTGAAGTTAATATCTCCGTTTCTGTGGGTCAGGAATTTAGCAAGAGTTTGGATGAATAGTTCTGGCTTGGGGTCTTTCATGGGTCAAGATGTTGGCCAGGCTCCAGCCGTCTTCAGGGGAGGATGTTCTTACTAAGACGGCTCACTCCGCGATGGCCATTTGGTCCTGGTGATTGATGGGAGGCCTCCGTTTCCCTTCGCCTAGGCCTGTCCAGAGCGCTGCAGGACTGCCCACGGGAAGGACAGTTGCCTTTCTCCAGAGCCAGCATCCGAGAGAAAGCGAGGCAGGAGGGGCTTGCCTTTTCTGAACTAGCATCAGAAGTCCGGCACCATCACCGCTGCCAATTCGGTCATCAGCGAGTCACTGAGTCCAGGCCCAGGGAGGGATGTCAAAGGACTATCAGACATCTTAAGATATAGTTAGTTGGGTCTGTTTTTAGTTGTTCTGATAATTTCTGCATTTTTAAAAAAAATTTTATTTATTTATATATTTGACAGAGATCACAAGTAGGCAGAGAAGCAGAGAGAGAGGGGGAAGCAGGCTCCCCGCTGAGCAGAGAGCCCGACGCGGGGCTCGATCCCAGGACCCTGAGATCATGAAGGCAGAGGCCTTAACCCACTGAGCCACTCAGGCACTCCAATTTCTGCATTTTAATTGTACTGTTTATTCCACTAGCATGTCTTGTGCAATCAGCGATAGCGTTTAGTTTGGTTTTGCCATTTTGCCCTGTTCTTGTTCCTCCTCTAAGGTTCCTGTCCTTCAAAAAAATTAAAAAATACATTCATTGTGATTTTATTTTGGGAATTTTTTTTTTTAAAGACCTTATTTATCTATTTGACAGAGAGAGATCATCACAAGTAGGCAGAGAGACAGGCAGAGAGGGAAGCAGGCTCCCTGCCGAGCAGAGAGCCCGATGTGGGGCTCGATCCCAGGACCCCGAGATCATGACCCGAGCCGGAGGCAGAGGCTTAACCCACTGAACCACCCAGGTGCCCCTATTTTGGGAATTCTTAACTTTAATCTTTTTTTAAAAAAGATTTTATTTATTTATTTGACAGAGATCACAAGTAGGCAGAGAGAGAGGAGGAAGCAGGCTCCCCGCTGAGCAGAGAGCCCGACCCGGGGCTCCATCCCAGGACCCTGAGATCATGACCTGAGCTGAAGCAGAGGCTTTAACGTACTGAGCCAGCCAGGCGCCCCAATCTTTCTATTTTATAAAAGCTGTACTTCAGTTGTTGCTGTAGGCATACAGTAAACATCCTTAGTTATTCATAGATTATTTCATGTTGTACTGTTGTATATAAAATATAAAATCCCTGAAAATGTAAAGACCAACTTCCTCTGAAATTTCATTAGGTATTTTATTTTTTATAGTGTAGGTTTTCTGGTGATGAATTCTTATGTTTTCTTTACCTGAAAATATCTTTAGTTCATTTTCATTCTTAAAGGACATTTTTACTTGACAGAGAATATTCTGGTTTGACAGTCTGTTCTTCCCCTCTAAGAGTTTCTAAAGATCTTGTTCCAGTCTTTTCTGATTCTGGTAGTTTCTGATGAAAAGTCAATCATAAAACAAATTGTTGTTACCCTGTGTGCATTGTGTTTCATTTCATGCTGTCAAGATCTGCTCTTTAATTCGGCGGTCAGTAATTTGACTATGGTAGGACTAGGCCTTCTGTTTGTCCTGGTTGGTGTTCACGGAGCATCTCCAAGTTAGAAGCTTGTCTTCATCACACTGGTGAAAAATTTGACCTTTATTACAGTATTTTATCTGCCTCATTCTCTTGTCAGATTCCTGTCGTACCCATCTTAGACTGTCTGACATTCTGTGCTCCTTAAAAACATTTTTGTTATTTACACTGGATAAATTCTATTGGTTTATCTTCAAGTTCACGGACTAAATTTTACCTTTTACCTACCTACAACCTTTTTACCTTTTTCACTGTCATCTCTGTTCTGTGAAGACCATCCATATTTTTTTTTTCATTTTAGAGTTTTTTTTTTTTAGTTTTATTTTTTCCATTTCATTAAAAAATCATTTCTATATTTGCTATTTTTCATTCATTATGAATATATTTTCCTTTACCTCACTGATTGTTGTTATAGTTGTTTTAAAGTCCTTATCTGCAAGTTCTAACATCTGGATTAGCTGGTCTTAGTTGACTGCCTTTTGCCCTTGAGAGAGGGCTGCATTTTCTTATTTGCACACTGCACGTTATGAATGCCTGTTATGGATATCAAATTGTGAAGCCTCTGTATTCTGTTATTTTTCTCAGATGAGTGGCTTTTTTTTTTTTTTTAAATATTTTATTTATTTGACAGACACACGGAGAGAGAGGTAACACAGGCAGGGGGAGTGGGAGAGGGAGAAGCAGACTTCCCGCGGAGCAGGGATCTCGATGCAGAATCAACCCTAGGACCCCGGGACCATAACCTGAACAGAAGGTGGACGCTTAAGGCCTGAGCCACTCGGGCGCCCTGAGTGGTTTCTTGTGTTTCAGCAGGCACTTAATGACCTTTCAAAATGTTTTTTGGGCAGAAGTTCCAATCACAGCTCACATCTTTTATCTGTAGCTCAGCTTCCAGGACCACAGAGTGCCTGTGTGGCTGAGGGGTCTGCTGGAGGTGTGGGCAGACAATTTGGGGATCTCCCCTCTAGTTCGTTCCCTCTTAGGTTGCTCTCAACTTGGCTCTCTGACTTCCCGGGGCATAAAGGCTCTGATTTTTCTGCCAGTAACCTCACCACTTAGCTTGACACCAGAGTAAAAGCAGCAGAAGAGGGAAGTGATGCTCTCTCGCCCTCCCCTGCGCGGACTCCTCCCAGACTGTGACCGCATCGGATCCCTCTCCAGGGCCTCCGTGTTACTGCCTTTTTTTTTTTTTTTTTTTTTTTTTTTAAGTGTATGTGCTGCCGAAGCGAGCACCGTGTTACTGCTTTTTGTCTTAGGCCCAGGCTGTACAGCTGATAGCGCTGGTAGGTTCCTTTACCAACAGTGGAACTGGAAGTCTGAGTAAACATATTTGAAAAACCTCAGGATGCCTGGAGTTTGATGCTCAGCGGTATATAGAGACGACCAGCCCCGATGGAGAGCGGGGCTCCCTCCGCCTACAAGCGCAAACCAGAGACCGAGGAATGGCAGGGGTTCCGACCACTGTCTTAGGTTAAAGTGACGTCATCGTTCTCTGGTGTTGCTCCATGTTATTGAGTGAGTAGATATGAGAACCGGGATAGGAAGGATGAGTGCTACCTTTTGTTTCTCTTAAAAATGCCAGTTTAAGGGGCGCCTGGGTGGCTCAGTCATTAAGCGTCTGCCTTTGGCTCAGGTCACGATCCCAGGGTCCTGGGATCGAGTCCTGCATCGGGCTCCCTGCTCCGCGGGG